TTTGGGGGAAATTCTGAAGCCGATGAAGGATATTGGCTTCTTCACATTTAGCGAGAATGCTGACATCATGGAACCAAATGCGGCTAACCCTAATTCAGTTTTTATATTTGATGATATCGCTTGTGAAAAACAGGATAACATTAGAGCGTACTTTTCAATGGGGAGGCATAACGCCGTCGACTGTTTCTACTTGGGTCAGACGTATTCTAAAATTCCTAAACAATTGATTCGAGATAATGCTAACTTAATTGTCTTATTCGAACAGGACGATTTGAATTTGCGACACATTTATGAAGATCACGTCGCTCCCATCATAACAATGCAGCTCTTCCGAGAGATGTGCTCGGAAAGTTGGCGAATTCCATATGGCTTTATGGTGATAAATAAGGATGCGGATGTGCCAAACGGTCGTTTCAGGAAAGGTTTCGATCACTATATAATACCATGAGAACGTGTTTATTATTCAGTTGGAAATAAACAGCTATCAAGGCAACAGCTTCCAAAAAATAAACATCTTTCAAATAAACAGCTTATTGAGAAACAGACCCCTGTCCCAGTGTATCTGTTCTCTCTTGTTTTTTATCTGTTTACCTGTTCCGTTGATCATGGATAATAAGGAGATGGCCTTGAAACGACGAATAGTTCAGGCTCGTAAAGCTCAAACGTCGTTGCTCCTTAAAATTCAAATTTTCGTGGTTTCTTTTATGAAAAAAATATTTTTGGGATGGAATTCGGAAAGTGTATGTCGTCTACCATCGAATGATATAAACAAATAGTGTAATATTTGGACGAATTTCCTCCAAAAGGAGTAATTACAGTTGTTTGTATGCGCTTTCGTGTATTTTGGGAAAAAGAAGTAAATAATTCCGGTACAAAAATGAGTGTTGCTTTCATATAGGTAGGTACGTACATATTTTCTGCTAATTGATAAATTGGGAAATGCATTATTACGTTTATTAAAGTGTAAGTACATAATTTTTCACAATTTGCAGGTGATAAGCTCTATACTTAGAATCGCGCGCTCGTAATTGCAGGTGCTGTTCAGTAACCTCTTATCTCAGAAAGAATTTTTCCTCGTTCTTGGAACTTTGACTTCCTTATTCTTTATAAAAAATGCAGTTTATGTTCACATCGCGTAATTAGCAAAATCTGTTTATCGACATTATTATTTTTAACCAAATGGTAAACTTAATAATTGAGTATAATGAATGCAATCACATTTCATTTACCAACGGATCAATCAAAAAGGTCGATAAGCGACTATTTGGAAAAGTTTCATGCAGCACCACCCCCCCAAACTGTAACAATAAATACGGCTAATAAAAATGCAGTGCCCCGTATTTAGCGAAATTATCGGCGGTATAAATATTCTTAAACTAATCCTTAATTTGATTGGCATAATATTAATGCTTTTACGTATAATGAATACATTTCACCCCAATCGAACTCGTTTCATAATGGACCGATCGAAACGATCGATAAATAATCGATACATATCGCAGTAATTCTTCTACAGAGAAATATACCTCACATTTATAAATTAATTTTAAGAATAAAACACTTACAGCGCTGCTCTTTATTATATTAATACAAAAATATTAGAGAATACATATTTGCTCCTTCCTAGCCCAGTTGGACAGTTTTTAGTTTTCGCTGTACTCCCAAAACTTCTAGATCCCATTTGAGTTTTTTTATTTCTATCAGCAAATCTTCTAATCGTTTTCGCCTCTGATGCATATTGGCCGGTGCAGCTGTATGTCTTCTTATAGGTGCTTTTGTCATCTTGCTTGTTAATGGAATGAAGCTTCATCCAGACGAGCACTTTATATATGTTCATTAGCCAAACTACAAATCCTCATCTTGTTCGCAAACCCTTAACGGTCAACAACCCATTAAGAGCAATAATCCTTAGCAGCAACGAGACGAGGTTAATACCCCTTTAGTAGCTCAGCTTTGAGTTTAACGACCTGCAATAGCAGCAGAGAGCAATACCCTTTTAGTCATCACGTCGATTGAGTGATGGCCAGACATTCCTGCTCACTATATTCACCATTGCCATATATTGCTTCATGTTCTGCGTCAAATACTAACGCTGAAAACTTTTGCTTGAGCTGTTACAAAATCTCTCGCCTTCATCCACGATTGCTCAGCATACTCTAGCCATGCCATGATTATTTGATATACACGACGAGCGGGCTATATAATCACTGCGCCCCATTATGCAATTAGCGGAGATCAAAACCATTAAGCTAAAGGGTTTTAGAACAGACAACGAGGTCAATAACCTTTTTATCAAAAGGTCATTCCCCCCGGACAATAAAGTTAATGACCTTCACAGCTCAAGGTCATATTTAGAATCGGCCCTACCTTACTACTACGTAGAGAGTAAAGTGCTCTCGAAATGAGCTACGTGTGCCAAATGTTAATGAACTTGTCGTACTTACCTACCTGATTATATGTGATGACGCTGACCTAAGGACTTGTGTGAGTTCTTCTAAGAAAAGACTTCATGTACCAGCGAATATGGATCTTGACCTAGAGGAATTCTCACCCAAGACGAAATCTGAACACAAATTATTTACCACTGCAAGAGTGACAAGGTAAGATTTAAATTGTTTGATTCGATGGAGCTAGTTCCATTTTTATAAATTTTAAAGCAATTAAACTAAATCTTTTAACCAGTCGTTACATCTAGTACCTACCTACAATTTCATCGCACATACGTTTTTCATCATCAAACCATACCAATTCTCAGAGGCCACAAACTAAACAGAAAAATTTGGTTATTTTCCTAGGGGCGAAATTAACCACCTTTTGCAAGGCGCACGTCTTCGAGGGGTATATTAGACTTTGGGCGCCTAAAAGATAGCTTCCGCCATAAATGTCAGATTGTTAAAGCTTGAATCGCGGTTGTTCTTTCTCGTCTCGCCAACAGAAGATCGAGCTATGAGCAGTGCCCCAAAAATTGAGTACCATTTTGTGGAGGGTTTTAGTGAAATCTACCAAAATGCCAGTTGCTGGGGAAAGGGGCGTCGGAAGTGTATACCGACAAAGGGAATGTGGTTGCCCCCGACAAGATTTTACTGATGGTGGAGTCAAAACTTCAAAATCGAATTGTAAGTTTTTTGGCAATCGAAGAAAAACATTTTGATGTTCTTCGAACGCAATCGGTGATATAAATAAAGCTTGCGTGGCTTAAAATATTCTTTATTAAACTAATTTGGAATCGAAGAAATGAAGCAAAAATTATTTTGGTCAAATTTTCCTTCCGGATTTCACGGTACTATCCTTTCATATCTGAGTAGGTACGTCTTAAAAATGTCTAATGTCCTTGGATCGTATTTTATCCAGTCACGGCGTCTAAGTAAAATATACGTAGTATCGTTATAAATACAATGGTTGTATATAGAAGTTTAAATTTAATACCTCGATGCACATATTAGATATGGCCAGTAAAGTGAAGCTCCAAATTCGCAATTCCCAGAAAGTATAAGCATTTAAGTATAATTTCGTTCGAAAAAAGAATCGTAAAGTGGGTTATAAAAGAAGACTGTCGATTACATAGTCATTTTACCTGAAATGTAGGTGAATCATTTAATGTCATATACTTTATGTATAGACAGTCTTTTGTTGAATTGCTCTAAATAATATACTTGAAAAGTAAATCGTATGAGATCATATTCGTTTAATGAAAATTGTCAAATAGCCAATTGCCATTTCCAATTCACGAACCCCGATCTACAAATTCGATAAGGAATCCACCTAAAAAATTTCATCGTAATAGGTCGATTCGTTATCGAGATATCGTGTTAACAGACGGAGAGCCACTAGGAGTTCGTTAATAATTGAAAATAATAATAATAATAATATAATAATATATATTTGCTGTCAGCAGACAATAGGTATAACATTGATATTGACAAAGTCACATAAACGATACATAAATTTTGTATAAAAACACAAACACGTAGGTAAACTAACACTAAACAATAAAATCGCTCACTTTATCTGTAAAATGCGATGTTGTTGTTTTCGTAATTACATATTTGATTCAGTAACAACAACAACTGAGAAAGTTAGCAATAGTGCCGACTTAATTGGAAACAGCCTGTATATTATTTTGATTTTTAAGTAGGGCCATGAAGTCCGGTGACCTAGGCGGTCATCTGATTGGTTTGTGTGTGCCAGTCCAACGTCTGTTAAAATCGCATTTAAAATATATTCTGTAACTGACCTTGAATTGTGAGCGGGTGCCTCATCCTGTTGAAAAAATATTTCATTTCACTGTGACAAAGGTCCAGCAATTCTGGTAATTTGTTTTGTAATATTTCAAAGCATCAGAGTGCAGCCACTGTCAAAAATTGCGTATATAATTTTGTGCACAAAATAAAGCAAAGAAACACTGAAACTAAAACGGCCCTGTAGTTGTAGTTACAAATTGTATGTAATTTCCTTGTTACCAGTATCTTATATTTTGAACAATATTAACTTTATTATGGTTTAAATTTATGTCTTTTCTAAATTTTTTGAATCTTCTTTTTAGAAACTCGTACTTCTTCCGTCCATTTTTCTGGACGAAATTTGTGACCTTGCTTCCATACATTATTTCGTCAGGTTCGTTCCGCTGATCATGATTTTGAATAGGTTTAGAATAGCGGTCAAAATGTAGCAAATTAGATTTTAGACAGAATACGGTAGCAACGTAGATGCATTTAAAGGTATTGCAGATAATTGCGAAGATTCGTATCTCTACAATTGTAGGAACATGATAAATATGACCAAAAACTGATAAACGCCATTTGTAATTCAGAATGACCTATGACATTATAATGATTAGCTTGAATTCATTGCATAAAAATGTGCAAACTATTTCTTCGGTTAATCCCCTAACTTAGACGATGCCCCAAAACATCCGATTGCAGTAGATATCTCAGAATCTGACGTCAAAAAAAGTTGGGTATATAAATTTTGACCAAGCAAATAGTTAACCAGTACCAACATCCTGCACCAAAACAACTCAAAACCATGAACTTCAAATTCTTTGTTTTTGCCATAATGGCAACCATGTTAGTGGTGTCTATAGCTGCAGCACCGGCAGCAGTCGTCAATAAGAAAGATAAAGACATCGACATTAGTAAGTGATTTGGTTAATATGTAGAGTAGATGAGTCATGTAATCATCATTCTTACAGTTATCATTCGAGCACGTCGCGATGTGAGTGAGTGTTGTGACCTTGTTGGAGGTGCCAGTAATGATCGCAGCGCTGCTGATTCTATTTTGAAAGGAGATGAAAGTTGAAGTTGTATTAATCAGTATTGTAAATATTTCCGGAGAATATTCTTTAATGATCGTAGAAACCGCAACTGAAATTTGAACGTTCAAAAATGTAAAAATACATATACAGGATGTATCATTTAAGATTCGAAATTTTGAGTCACTACTATTTATTTTATAGCATTCAAATATTTTTTACTAACTAATATCACCCACCAAAATTATATATAAATTATGTATAAATTTGGTTTACATAGGATACATGAACAAAAGAACCGAGGATATTTAAAGATACAAAAAGATTCACGCACTGTTTTTATGGGAATTTTTCGAAAGAAACTAACTAACTCGTGAACGAAAAGATATAGCGATGCCAAACCTTCGCTAATTGATTTCTACGAGTTCTCAGTTCAAGGATCAGTGCTATTGAATATGAGCCGGATCAAAAGTCTAGTTTCCGAATACGAGTGGCAAAAAATTCCCCTACTGAAAATCGTATGAGATTCTTGGTATCTTGCTTATGTTTAGTCTTGTAACGGGTAGGTGCAAAATTTACTGTTTATACTTATCTTTCTTACCCTTAAACCTTTTATTCAGGCTACTCGCACAAATTTTTTTGCAATTCCTTACCGGAAAGTGGACCAGTTATATTAAACCGGAAAATGAAGGGATGTCGCCCTTTTACTTGAGCTGACAACATGCAGACAACTAAGATAAACTCGAAATATCAAGTAATTACGCTTCCGTTTTCATCTCTTATTTAAATATTATTTTAATTTCCGGTACGATTGCCACTGTATACCTAAATACACTGCATTCATTATATGAAAGTACCTACTAGATGGCGCTGTGTGTGAAGATAAGTACACACAGGAAAAATATAAAACGGTACCAAATTATTGTATAGAAATATCCAGCATTGCGAACAGAAATAAATCAAACGATTTCACGCTTGGATTTTTGACATTAACAGCTAATGATCTAATGACAGTTCGAAAGTTTAGTTGGCAACAGAATTCAGTAAACTACCAGCTTACAAAATTCGTCACTTGTTTTATTTTTCAGCCTAATACTGACTCGTGTTTTAACCAATCACAGTGAAGGTCAAAGCTTCTCTCTGGTTTCCATCACTGACCTCTAATTAAAGTGGTTTCCACCGCTGAATGGAGTATAGTGGCACAGATTTAAATATACTAATAGTGGCAACCTTTTTTTAGAATTTATCCCTCATCTAACCAATACTGACAACAATTTAATATCCCATTTTTATGCATAATTAAAATTGGGATATCGGTGGACCGTGGACCCATCTATATGAATTTCTTCTTCTATATGTAATGTAATTCTCCATTTTTTTGGGGTTCGTTGAGATTCTTTAATATATAAAATTGTGGTTCCTTTTTATATATTAACGAATTTCTTCTTCTACTTAAACAAATGCAAAATTTGATCATCTCTTCTAAAAGGTGTCGTAACAGAAGTGTCAACATAAATAATTTGAATAAAAAGGCGAGTTCAGGCTCGATTTAGAAATGTGTTATTTTATAATATGTTTATTTGGTTGGTGGTAATTATAGGCGTGGAAAACAATTTCAATCAAATGTTTGCCACGGTTTTGGAGCCAGACGTTGTTGCGTTTGTCTACATTTTCGGCGACCTGGGCACATAAATGCCCCTTCACGGTGTTGATCGACGCGATGATGGCCGCCTTTTACTTTTGAATGGTGTTTGGCTTTCCCACATACACTTTAGACTTAAAATAAACCCCAAAGGAAGAAGTCCAACGGGGTCAAATCGCACGATCTTGGGGGCCAGTTGATATCACCGTTTCGGGAGATAATGCATCCCTCGTTGACACCACATATCTTCCAAATCCCCACCGCAGACCAAGATATCGTAACATTTTTCTGCACGATTCTGTCAATTGTACTTCGGTAGGTCGGTTGACCGAAATGATCATGCGCTAAACGTAATTTTTTCAAATGCCCATTATCGTAAAACGTTTTCGCAATTTTAACGCGTTGGTCGACTTTTTACGCTCCAATGGTTCAATTTGCCAAATGTTTATAGAAACAAAAGCAACGGGCGATCAAAAAAGGATTAACGTCGAGTCGCCATTGGAATTCAGTTTAAATATGATTTCCCATGTAAACAAAAATTCCAAAGATGACTCGGCAGCAACTATTTTTTGATCGCATGGTACAAATGTCAAAAAGAAGCAAAGGAACATGATGCGATTAAGCCTGGTTAACATCTTTAATGTGTACACGCTACTTTTAACACCCTTTATTTGTCTGGGGTTTTTAAAGTTAATCCAGACTCTAAATTTTATGAACTTTGCGCCAACATTCGCAAAAATTGGGTGGGGGAGGGAGATTTTTTGCCGAAGCTTCCAGGCGAACCTATGTAAGTCGGGCGCGGCACATTCTGTAACATTTATTTTCAACTGTATACGGAAGATTTAACAGCCGCGTAGTTGTACGTGATACGTTTATTTGAAAGTTTGCCGAATTACAAGGGAAAACTACTCTACCATAAGTTATTTTTGGGTAAATTCACTGCGAGTTGCCATCACAAGTAAAAGTAATATAAAGTGGCGTAGTTACGTGAGCGAACATTTGGTTGCATTATTTGATCAGCGTGATCTCGTTTAAAAATGTTTTACCACAAACGGGTTGCGGTGTACAGAACGTTTAATTGCGTTTATATTTTGGAGTGGTTACAAAAAAACAAATTTATTGACCAAATTTGTGCGCCTCTTTTGTTTATACGGGGCGACAATAAAATTCTGGGGCAAACGCGGTAACCGGTAAAAAGTTAAGACAAGTAATTCATGCTTTTTGCTGATTGTTAAAACCCTAAGTATACAAGGGGAAAATTAACCATTTCCATACTACGGAACATTGGTACATGTTCCACTGAGTAAACAAAATTTCAATTACCAAATTTCGAGAAACCTGAAGCCTAGTTTGCTCGTGTTTCAAATTGTCAATCGTCTTTCAAAATTCACATCCAACGAGTAGCCAAATTTACCAGGTGGTACAAGAGGGCGAATTGTATTGCAAAAGGCGTTCTACCATCCAATTTTTTGAATTGCTGCTACTTTTTAAAAGGACAAACTCGACTATAATTTGGAGCCACCTTCGATAAATGTAAGTTTTTTTAAATGTTTGCATTGTATAAAAACAGAAAAGTTTTGACATTCCTGAAGAGGTCGACCCAGGGCAATTTATTCCGTGAACATATAGGTATTTTCATTAATTGTGAAGTGGAATTTTAAGTTCATTCTTTTATGTGGGTTAAATTTTATTTAGCATCCGGAATATTTTAAATAGGAAAATGTATCAGGCGTTGGATTACTTACAAATATTAAAAATGTAGATAATTAATTAGATTTGAGACGTGATCACGAGACAGGAATTGACATTTTTTAGTATTGGTTACATGAAGTACATCAGTGTTTTACTTCATGAAAAATGTAAAGAAAAGTGAAGTTGGAACCATACTATTTTTTGATTCGTGTTCCAATAAACATCTTCATTTTTAGTTGATCTTTTGAAACAGTACCAAACCCTTAGATAATGCTACCAACTGTTCTAGCAACCCCCCCCCCCCTTCCCCACATATTTCCGAGTATATGTACCTACAACGGGCAGACTTTACAACGCAAAAATAAATTGAGATAACTGAATGTTGCAAAAATGAAATTCTATAGTTAGACAAGTTTCATGTATAGAAAAGGGAGTAAGTACCATTCGTATTTAACAATTATAGGAACATGATAAATATGACCTGAGACTGATAAATGCGATGTTTTTGTTTAGTTTACAATGACCTATGACATTATAAAGATTAGCTTGAGCTCCTTGCATAAAAATGTGCAAACTCTTTCTTTGGTTAATCCCCTAATTTAGACGATGCTCAAAAACATCCGATTACATAATCGCATAAAATGTGTAGATGTTTTGATAATTGTTGAGTGATCCATTCAAATTACAGGTACAGTATAAAGTAAAAACTAACAAATTTCGTTTGGAAAATAGTAAAACGCTTTGTATAAATAGGTGTGAATTAAATTTTGTGCTGCTTCGGTTTGTGGTGCAAAAGTTCCATTTATTTGCAAGCTTTTGAGAAAATGGCAAAACACACTGAAGCAAATGACTGTTTTGGACTTTTGCTACTTTCGGAGTTTGGGTAGTTTTAATGGCCACACGTTTTTACTACAGCAATGGTCTTGGGATATTTTAACACCCCACTCGGCTAAAAAAAAAGTTAAAAACGAAGAAGTCTTTTATTTGTGACAGTAATTACGGGTTCTCATTTCTTCGATTATCGAGGAAGAAAGTACTTACCAGCAATTCTATCAGTCTAGAACACCAGAAATCGAAAGCACTGCTTTATTATACCTACCTACATATTGTGTTGATCGTGAAAGTTTGCTTAATTATTCTACTACTTACATTCGTTTTGATTTGAAGCAATTAACTTCAACACTAACGCATTTAATTGCCCATCAAAGGCTAACTGTTTACCTAATATGCCTCAGATTGAGAAAGATGAATGGTAAGTGGACGCTAGACCTCAATGTAGATGAAAGATGGGAAGGTAAATGTTCGTATTTTTAATTGTGATACCTATAACGTCTGATAAACCTAAAGGAAGAAGAATACGAAACAGCGGTCACAATAGAAGACATTTTTAAGCAAAAAGGTTAAATTAGGGTAGGTATCTACTATTAATATTACGCGAAGGGTCAAAGTGATCAAGCTTTCTCTTTTTCACAAAGAAAGTAAGTACATATGCGTAAAACTACCTGTATGACTAATTTTCCAAAAATTAAAGTGGCCTGCAAACTAAAAACGTGCCACTTGGGATTTTCTTGGTACTGCATGAAATTCCTACTAATTTGAACTGGGAATTTCCGTAGCACTTCCGTGACTCATTATCAGGACCTAATTTACTATAGGTACCTTATGCACGTGTCAATTTTTTTCATGGGAACATAGTGTACTAAATAGCCCAGCGCACAATGTATCATCTGAGCAAAGTAATTTAGAATGTTTACTAAAATAATCGCTTAATTTGTTTAATAATGTTAAATTTCTGTGACATAACGGAACACTTAGTTAACTAACTGTACCTGCATTACGATCTTGAATAAAAGTATTAGCACATTCGTGACCCCCTTTTAAAGATATATAATAAAACTAAAACATCCAGCTAATAGATTTAATTTGAATATTAGCGTGGATTCAATGATACTGGTTACTTAGAACGAGTACGTAGCTAGATGGAATTTACTCGAAGTGCATAAGGTGGGCCCAAAAAGAATTTAAACTTATTTAATCTATGCAGGGTGGGCTATTAGTGCATGGACGGAAGATTATGGATTTATGATCGGCGCATGTTGAAGGGCTCTTAAGGCTATAACCTAAAAATATTTTCAGCAAAATTGCAGTTGTTGTATAGGGTCAGTTATATCAAAGTTGCATTTTTGAATAGAACACCGTGTATATAATTGCATATTTCGATTCCTTGGTCAATTTTTAGTCTGACTGTACCTATGTATGATAACTAAAATGAGTCGTTTAGCTGCAATTTGTCATTTTTTCAAAAAGGAGATGTCCAGCAAAAATTGAAGACCTATCGCAGTTATCATAAAACTTAGAAGGCCGTGACCCGCTCTACTCGTAATTTGCTTCAATATCGAATACGATAATTAACTCGTACACTTCTTCTTAAGGAAGACAACGTAGACCAACTTTTGCTAACGCGATCAAAAATCGATCATTCTCATTCAACGATCGGGTGACACTAATGAATTGCGAACAAACAATGACGTCAATAGTTACATTTACCTACGTTTCGGGAATGTATCCCTATAACAGGTAGTTACATCGGTATGTAGCGCCCTCTATCAAACCGCTTTGGATGTTACGGGGGTTCTCCAACAAGTAATAACAGCGTGGACAATAAGTAATGAGTTCTACTTTAAAATCA